TCAACATCTCTACACTTTCTGAAAAGGCATAAAGATCCTAACTTCTGCAGGCCTTAAGTGATGGCGCAGGTATTCGTCGAAATCGTGCCAATTTCATTTCAAATTCAAACGTGCGATAACATATGTTTGTCATAGAAAATGTGTTATGACGCACTTTGTTCTGCTGATTTGACATTACTTGGCGATTTTATGGCAATTATATGATTTGTATGGTGCGAATCTACAACATGCAAAAGGGCAGGCCAGCCAAAGTCATGCTGAATGAAATGCCAGGAATCCACAAGCATGCTACGTAAATAATGTTTAACCTTTCACGGTCATGCTTGACATATCACACGTCATATTCATCGACATGTAATGTGGTTTGGCAGACGCCCTGCAGCATCGCTGGTTTCGTTGTCGTACTTTGCTTTATTCTTGAGTTATAGGTCGGGACCCATGCACACGAGCAGTCGCCCTCATGACCTGATTTCACATGTCACAGGTCACACTCAGTGATAGGATACTACCGCTTATTGGTTTACGGTCCAGAATACCAATGGTTATGCGGTGTCGCTTTCCCCAAGCGTTGTTTGACGCGTAGTTCTGAAATCGAAAGGGTGCATGAATGCACTAATTTCCTCCCAGTATTTGGCCTCAACCAGCATACAGTACTTGATGCGCAATGCCACTGTTCTGGTCCAATTTCACGTGCGCTTACGTCTTGGCCGTTTTCCTTCCAACACTAGCCTGCTTATCTTTTGAGACCGCGAGGAGACGTCTGGTGCTCCTCTTCCTACGAATGTCAGAAAAGGACAAGCACGGCGAGGGTGAATATCCCCTCTCGCGGCTAATGTTCCACCATCTCGAGAGCGCAGACAAAATGTCCGGCGAAGAACGCCTCGGTTTTAATGCTTGGCGCATGTGCCTGGAGACGAAGCGGGCTCTCCTCGGAGCTCACTAGGCGGCGCGGAGACGTGATGAGCTCTCCACGGATCTCACCAGGTGGCGCGGGGACGAGGTGAGCTCTCTTTGGAGCTCACCAGGCTGGGCGCGGACGAGGCGAGCTCTCCTCGAAGCTCACCAGGGGCGGGGACGTGGTGAGCTCTCCTCGAAGCTCACCAGGCGGGGCGGGGACGTGGTGAGCTCTCCTCGGAGCTCACCAGGCGGGACGGGGACGAGGCGAGCTCTCCTCGGAGCTCACCAGGCGGGGCGGGGACGTGGTGAGCTCTCCTCGGAGCTCACCTGGCGGGACGGGGACGAGGCGATCCCTCCCCGGAGCTCACCAGGGGGCGCGGGGACGAGGTGAGCTCTCCTTGGAGCTCGCCAGGCGGCGCGCCGCGGCCCACCCCGAGTGACAGCGCCCTCTACGACCACCGCTGATATGAGGAGCGCGAGTATCACCTTTCACGACCGGACCCGCGCCATTCTGCGCAGGATAATGACTGAGCGAGGCCGCGGAACTAACGAACGAGACCCGGTGGGCCGTAACGACCGGCCTTCCGCCGAGCCGACAGGGAGCAGGAAGACGTCAGGTGCAGGCGCGGCGCACCGTCGCCGACCCTGTGGATGCTCCGAGACAGGGGCAGCACGGGCGGAGGACCGGGGAGAAGCATCGCAACGAACGATCACAGACTACCCAACGTGTTGGATAGAGGCGTTCGCTGCACTGTACACACTCTGCTTTTCGAGAGAAACTATGTAAGTTGTTCGGTGCATTAGCGAGGAACGCTATTCACATAGATAAGACAGCAATAATAGCCTTACTCCTCGGAAAAAAATAGGAGGATGGAGATATAGTTGGGTTGGCATTTCGGAAACATGTCTTTATCGGAACAATAGCAGAATTGCTTCGCTTCTGCCATTGTTTCGATAAAGGCATATCACCGAAATACCAATCCAACTATACCTCCATTTTCCTCATTTTTCTCCGGGGAACGAGGCTGTTACCAGACCTGAAAAGTGAGAAGTTGTCTCGGTGACGTCCCGACGGTCTCAGTCAGCTCCGAGGAATCGTGAGCTGCCTCTGTCTCGGCGAAGACATGGTATTTTCTCAAAAGCATTGGGGGAACATGCTGGGGGAAAGAACATGCAGGCATGCTGAAGCCCTGCACGGTTGGCAAGCCAAAACTTGTAACCTATGTGAGTAAAAATGTCCAAATCTATCGGTACAACTGACACACGCTTAAGAAGCATGAGTCAGCCAAAACACAATACAACATGTGATGATTTGATCTACGCTAAACAATCCATAGGCAGTTGTGTTATGCCACGTAAGAGCTTCCCAAAGCACATAGCGTTGTGCATGGCTTATTGTAAGCGCGGTGCACTGCGGGAGAAATCTTGTTTGACTCCCTGCCCAACACCATGAAAGTAAGATATTCCATTTACCTTGCTTTTTAAATACGTGGGTTCTGTAATGTTTGCAACACACTAACGTGTCAGAATGCATGTGTACTAAATGCTACGAAAACTTGAAACGCTCATTTCGACAAAAAGATATGCGAACACCACGCTATTATCCCGCAAATTCAACGAAACGTTGTGCTACGGCTTTGATCTCTCTCCTATGGCGTTCTCCACAGTGGCTCTTTTCAAGGCGCAGCTTGGCTGTAGGACTGGGAGTATCACATGATCCATGTGACCCACTGGTTCAAACTGCAACCAACTGGCTTTTCGCTAGCATGCCCTGGCCCGTTGGGCCAATTACAAGCTTTTTTATTCGCATCAGCACAGGTGTGCACTGGGGTTGTCTTGACGGTGGTCCCGACACCATGGAAGAAGCGTAGTGCTGTTACAAAGCATTGGCAGCGTAATTTGGATTCAAAAATAGTTGAAACTAATATATTGATTTTGTCTTGACGGCGCTGCAGTGGCCCTACCCAATGTTATTATTAGATGTTACGAGTCCTCAGGTTTTATTAAAGCATGTTTTTGAAATATGCCCCAAAAGTGGGACACTCTCTTTAGAAGCCAGTTAACCATTTTCGTCGCTCTCCCATGGAGTCTAATAACGACCAGCCTGATCCGCAGCCGGTCTAACTTGTGACGGCTGATATCATGCACCACGCACTACCATGTACCATCACGCGTACCGTGTCCCATGGTGGTGTGTTTACTACATGGCTTCACAGGTGACCACGTGACTTATCTGTCCAGAGCTCTGTCGCTGAGTCCCAGCGATCCACAGCCTGTTCAGAGCTCTGCCGCTGAGTTCCAGCAATCCACAGCCTGTTCAGAGCTCTGCCGCTGAGTCCTGGTGAACTGCAACTTGTTCAGAGCTCTGCCGCTGAGTCCTAGTGAACTACAGCTTGTTCAGAGTTCTGCCGCTGAGTCCCAGTGATCTGCAGCCTGTTCAGAACTCTCCCGCTGAGTTCCAGTGATCCACAGCCTGTTTAGGGCTCTGCCGCTGAGTCCCAGCGATCCACAGCCTGTTCAGAACTCTGTCGCTGAGTCCCAGTGATCCGCAGCCTGTCTAGAGCTCAGCCCCAGTGATCCGCTGCCAGTCCAGAGCTCTGCCGCTGGGTCTCAGTGATCCGCAGCCTGTTGAGAGCTCTGCCGCTGAGCCCTCGTGCTCCGCAGCCTGTTTAGAGAAAGGTACAGTGACCCATAGTCTGCTGTACGGCTTGTGACCGCCCAGATGGCTGGCAGCCTGCATTGTGGTGCGTTGTTGACGTCCGCACTCCAAGGATGGTCCGGGTGGAAAAAAGCGGCAGGTGGATCGCGCCCGCATCACGCTGTCTGCTGTATCAGAGCATTGAATAAAAGCAGATGGCAACAGCGCAAAGTGGCTTAATGATACGGTGAGCGCAAATGTGCTGTGACTTCGTGCGAGCTGCCAAAAGTGATGAATTATGTGCTTACTTCCTATCGATTTTACAGATGTGAGATGGAACTGGAATAAATTGATAAAAAGTAATTGATCTGTATTCTCCATGCTGACCATGAACCTCTAAGCTACTGGAATGCACTGATTAAATGATGTCATCGGCCCAAACAATTAGTCATGCGATCTGACCATACAGCCAATGATTTTTTTTTTTAAACGTCGTCTTATCAGCACTTCATGACATATCGAATTTCAATTATTGTAAGCACGAGAGCTTGAATTCATAATGCCGGAAAACCAGCAGCTGTGGGCCTTCTTTTACTTACATAAATTTGACAAATTATGAGTCGTGCGTTCGTGTGGAAGAAACGTACACTTATGCCTTGTGCAAGTTGCTGGGCTGAAAGCGCGCAACTCTTTTATTTAAGCGTGATTTTCGAGGCAGAAGCGCGTGGTGAAAGTGGACACTCGAAGCAATCGTTGGTCCAGTAAGCCAACGATACACTAGCACGTTCCTGCAGACGGTGGCTGAGTTGTATGCTCTTGCCGGTAGATGTCACCAACGCACCCCCCATTACCTCAATTGTTTACACGCTCCGCACACGGTAGCTCTTCCGACCATACAGAAGTCGTGTGCGCTGTTTGCGACCTGTGATCACCGCCGTTCCCTTTAGGTCCATTTGTCTGATGCAGCCCGATGGCGGTCCGAAAACACGGCGATATGGGTGCTGGTGGAAGCAGGCAGCTCGTTCAATAAGTGTGCACCGCGTAAACATCTGTACCCACGATATCCTGAGAAGACGATTCAGCGATCAGTCGCCACTGAATCCGGTCTAGATTTGGGAGGCACTCTCTGAACCGGAATCCCCCAACAATGCAACACTGGGGTAAGTCGGAGCCGAAATTTGCCGTGTACTCCACGCTCAAGTCAGTATTGCTGCAGCGTGGGCCACCGCGATCAACCGCGCCGTCGACATGTATTTTACTTCCATCATTGTATGTGTGCCGTGCCAGAGCCTGCTCGGGCGCGCGAGACACGTTGAGAGGGTGTATTTTTGCCACGAGCGAAGGGACGATCTAGCAGCCCCATTGGGTCTGATCTGGTCTGGTCTGGTCTTAATTGGATTGGTCTGGTCTTACCCGCCCACGAACAGATTTCTGACGCTTTGTATTACAACATGAGCACCATTGTAAAAGCATCGTGCGCGTCGAATCTGGAAACGTATGTACAAAAACATAATGCGCAGCAGTATAACATGCGGTAAATGAATGCGCGTTTCCGACCGAACAGCGAGCTGAAGCGGGCTTAAAACATGTAGCGAAACCACATGTCGGTCAACACAATGAAATGGTCCGGTACCATCTGCGTTCTCCCCAATGCCGCTCTGATAGCCAAAAGCAAAAAAAAAAAACGCCCGAGAAAGCGATTCTAGCATCATGCAGCTAGCGTCAAGATGTACTTCCGTTTTATAACTCTGTCCATCGACGGCACCGCGCAACTAGACCACAGAACCATGGCGACCACGGCCGCCTGATCGATATCCGGCTGCCAACCAACCAACCATGCACACCCGGGCACAACCGACTGAGGTCCACCGCTGTATGAAGGTCACCAACCACCACTTGTCTAACCACCAGACCTGCAGGTGCTGTGCGCATCTTCACAGACACGCGACACAGACCAAAGCAAGTGCAATACACTGTACATTACCAGCTCGTTGTGCATGAATCGCGAGGCCCCTGATCGGCTCCAGGTCCACGCGCGTCCGTGCCGGACAGGGCCCGCGTCGCGCACGCTCCAGGTCCACGCGCGTCCGTGCCGGACAGGGCCCAGGCCACGCACGCTCCAGGCCTACGCGAGTCCGTGCCGGACAGGGCCCGCGGCGCGCACGCGCCAGGTCACGGCGTGCTGACAGGCGCCCAGCCGTGCTGCGCGTGCGCGGCTGGCCACCTCCGCCGCCTCCACAGCCGGCTGCCACCACTGACATCCTGACGGCGCAGCAGCAGAGCGCGGGCGACAAGCGAGCTGGAAGTACCATAGTGTAGCGTGCGAGACGGTCGTCCGATTGTAGGTCACGTGATGTCATTTACGACACAGGGCACGTGACGAGTTCGAGTGAGAGCGCAGTGCGGACATGTTCACATCCCAGGCACGTATGTGCGTGACTGAAGCGATGCACACCGAAATCACAGAATGATGAGCATTAGAACAGACATGTTCAGACAGCCGTTGGGCATACTGAGACTCTATAACGCACGCATCCGCCATATAATTATTTCGGATCGCTATCTTTCCAAAAGTCAGGCCGGCATTTCAATTTAGGAACAAATGGAAACTGATGAAAAATCACATGACAGCACGTGTCACCATCCAATTTTCCAATGTTTTTTTGGTAGCCATTCCGATCGCCAGCACCACATCTATATAACGTCGCCAGCTGCGGCGTAGACGTTGATACTGCACATGTCGCGCAAGGATTGAAGCATTTTAAAGCACAGAAACTATACGCACGCTTTTCCGGGAGGAGAAAATCTCGCAGGCAAAGTTTCTCCTCGACCGCGTGAGGTTCCATCTGACCTGTCTTCACGCCGCGGTCCGCCGCACAGACGCAGGGCGTACATCTCGCCACAAAAGTGCCGCTCGCCTTCCGTCCCAACCCCGTCAGTCGCACAGAGGCGAGCAGCAGGTGTGAACGCACACACGTGAACTTCCCACTCAACCCAGTACGCCCGCTCAGCGGTGCGGAGGCTGCGCGCCTTGCGCCAGCGCAAGCCGCCTCGCCTCTAGGCGCGCGCTCGTCAGTCCTCGGGTGGCGGGTGCCTCTCGAGGTAGCGCTCCCAGTCGCGGTGCCGGAGCGCGCCGAAGTCCTCGAGCCGCGCGATCGAGCGCAGGTAGCGCGCCAGCAGCAGCAGCTCCACGTCCTTGTCGCGGTTCTGGTGCGCCTGCCGGAACGGCCGGATGCGCAGCCCGCTCTGCCGGTTCATCAGGAAGTTGTGACGCACGTCGTCGAACATGATGGTGTTGGCCGCCGACGTGTCCGGAAACTTACCCCAGATCACAGCCAGCGGCTTGCACTCGGTCACTCCGTAGTGCTCCGAATGCACCGTGATCATGGCCAAGTTGTCCAGGTGGAAGGCGATCTTGTAGTCGGGGTGCGCGCTGACGCCCAGCAGCCGCATCTTCTCATCAATCCACCGCATGGAGGTGGCCGACCAGATGACAATGTCGTAGTCGCGGTAGGCCGACGTCAGGAACTCGTGCAGGTACGGTCGCATCAGCTGGCTGCCGCTGTCCGCCACGCTGCGGTGATCGAACAGCGTGTAGTCAATGTCCAGCACCAGCAGCCGCTTGCCCTCCCGCAGCGGGTTCTTCACCTCCACTTTGTAGTCGCGCACGCGCCTCTCCACCTTGGCCACGTACTCGGGCCGCAGGTGGATGGGCACCTCGCCGCCCTCCTCCTCGAAGAAGTCGTCCAGCACGCCGGCCGCCTCCTCGGGCACCTCGTTGGCGGCGGCAATGGCCTCCTCCGGGCTGCCCATCATCATGATGCGCGCGCCCGGCCGCAGCCCCAGCGCGCCCAGCTCGGCCGAGTCGGGCGCCGGCCGCCCGCCCAGCTTCAGGTTCAGCAGCTTCTGGCGCGCCGGCAGCACACGCGTGCGCAGACAGAGCGCGTCGCGCAGGTCGGCCACGGTGTCGGTGGCCAGCAGGCGCACGTCCAGCTCCTGGCCACTCCACTTAACCGTCAGCTGGACGGTGCCCTCGTCCTCGACGGCCGCCTCCCCCGACATGGCGCTGGTGGGTGGTGTATGCAGTGATCAATGATGGAGTGGGCAGGTGCTGCAGTGGCTGTGATGTGGCTTTCAGAATCCAGCTGCAATGAAATGGCATTAACATTGCAAATGATGATATCAACAATAAGCAGGCATAATTGCAGATATTATCATTATGCAAAATGTGACCTTTAAAATGAACATTTTACTCAAAACATATACATACTATGCAAAGCACTGCTGCTGAATACATGTCCATATGACTAAGTAGGGTCAAGAAAATCACATGAACATTTTCAGCTGGAAATGCTGAGTATAGCCTGATTCTGTGATACCAAATCATTGCTTTCCACCATGGTGCAATCTCTACATATATTTAGCTGTTTGAACAAAGTGGTAATGCAAGCACCACCATCTATTCAAACAACATGCAAAATAGATATGTATAGCCTTATATATATATATATATATATATATATATATATATATATATATACATTGTTTAGATGCAGCATACAAATTTTGAATCTTATGAAAAAACAGGGCAAGGTCCAGAGAGTCTTCATACTTATAGACCATTATGCTAAGATGAGTGCTTTTATTTTTAGCTTAAGTTTCAAACTCCTGGGCACCAAATGCTCTTGAAAGTGTGCATATTGCATATTATATATGTATGTTGTACAATGCACAGCAGGTACAAAATTTCAGGAAGAAGCTTATACTTACTAGGTGCTAAAAGTTATTGATAAGATCCACAAGCTTTCGCCATCTATGCTTTGTCAGGCTATGCCAGCAATGCTGAGAGAAAGGTGCCTATCTGGGAGGCCAAATTATCATGTTCACCCCATAAACTTTTGCAAAGGATTATGCAACTGTGCAGGATTTCATTTAAACACAATAAAAGGGAAGAAGCTCCAAGAAATAAGTGTTTGATTTCGGCTAGACTGCTAATATACATGTTATAGTAATAATGTCCTGTGTTGCAGCAACATCATGGGAAAATTCTGGGGCATGTGCACTATAAATCCACGCAATAAGCAATTAACAGCTTGCAGCACCATCATGATCAATTTCAGGGCAATCAGACAAAGTTTCTGTGAGCTTTGTTGTTGCAAAGGCAATTTCAGGCAAACACACTCAACAAAAAAATCATGCAACATAATTTTAAAATTTGTGTTTGACATGTTTTAAGCTTGGTGCATACAAGCACAACATTCATTAAACAGATGTTTCATAATCATCCACCATAAGGATTTTTGTAGACTGGCATTGTGGGAAACACATCCAGAAGCTTAACAGCAAATGAAAATATCAATACAGTATGGGAGCATTTTATGTACTGTATATGAGATCATGCATATACTTTTGTTACCGTTTGACGCCCCTTAATATCAGTCAAGCCTGACTGGTGGGTTACTATACAGCTGGTATGTCAAACAAGCGAGGCGACACAAACACAAAACACAAAATGTGTGTGACGTATGACTCACAGTCCATATACCCAAGATGGTATGCGGCAGCAATTTGCGTATCAACTCAGAAGCGGGCAAGCGCAAAATCTGTTCTAAATCTACTCATGCCCACCTGCCAATGTATGTTACCAGAGCGCAGACAATATACGTTCAACCGCTTATAACTAGAATAGCCTTATTTAACTAAATGCGCCGGCGTCAATGCGCGTCTTTAGTGAGCCACATACGAAAGCAGTTATTGTCTCCAAATCTGAAAATTATTTCATGCCGTGCCTAACAATATAGAATGAATAATAAAAGTTTTTTGAAAAAACTTTGAATGGCACTATTTATTTTTTAATTGCATAAAAAGCTCCAATTTTTAAACAGCTTTAGGGAAACAATCGATAAGAGATGATTGCTATTTGGACTTTTCGGGACATAATCTGAACATGGCAGCAATCGGAAAATTTCCTTCGTAGAGTTTTGCTCAGTCATTGTGGCGCAGGTGGCCTGTAAACCTTGCTGTAAACTGTACTAGATGTGACTGGGTGTGTGCGCCGGCATTTTCATCTCTGATCTTTGTAGGTAACTGAAACGGCGGGGAAGGAGGTTGGCTAGGGTTGTATACGCTTGGCAAGTGTCGATTCCTTTTTTTAAACCACTCGTCCTCACCACAGAGGAGACGTAATGTGCGGAGAGCTTGCATGTTGGGTGCAGGAATGTTTCTCATCACTGTCAATTGAAATGTGATATATTTGGCCTTTACACAGATGATTTCTTGGCATGATACACGTGGGAACATTCATTGTGTTTAAATCTACATAAGAATCTCAGAGTGTATTTTGTGTTAGTGCTGCTGAACTAGTCTGCAAAAACATAAGCTGAGCTGAATGCCTATATGACACATGTGTTGAATCACACATTTGTGTGTTCCAACCTCAGGGCAAGCCACATTGCACTAAATTTTCATGTACTTCTGGTTGAAAAATATTTAGGGAGTGTTTTGCCTTATGTTATCCCAGTGACCCAACATTGATACATTGCATTGATAGCTTACATACATACTATACATTGATACATCACCTTGATATATTGGCACCTGTGATGTCTATGTGCTGTGCTGGTGCTGACTGTCCCAGATTTTGAGCACTTTAATTGGAATATATGTGCATTAAAATCGTTACTGTGTGCCACTGCTGTGCCAGATGTGTTTTGTGTCACATTTATTTTGTGTACTCTGGCCTACGAGGCCTAGTTTGATATCATGACCTTGAATAGAACCCATAATTATGTTAACAATGCTAATGCTGTTATTCATTTTAAACACAATGGTGCTTTCTTCACAATGTTGCAGAATGATTACATTAGCAACTGGTGTGTGTGCTGCTGTATGTGGATGTTGTCAATTATATTAGCAACTGGTGTATGTGCTGCTGTATGTGGATGTTGTCAGGATGTTTTTTTTAATGCAGGTAGGGAATGTGCACATTGAACCAAAGCACTTGTGGAAAATTAAACACCAGCTGAAAGTATGTTGAACAGCTTAATAAAGCAATTCCCACCTTTGAATCAATTACACTGAAGTAAAGCATGGTCTGATAAGGTAGAGGAGGCACTCCTGGTCACCTTTTCATGCATGAATGTGGCAACAGAAGTTCTGGAATTAAATCTGGGGATATTATGGGGGACTATAAATATACAGGGAAGGGGTTTGGCACCCCAGTCCCCACTGCATGTGTAGTTTGGGATTTTGGGATAAGAACACAGGGTAAGAATTGCACCCTCATTGTATTAAGATATCTGGTCCAAATGCTTACACAATAAATAGGAAGTACATTTGACCTCTTTGTTACAACATCAGTGACCAGTAACATTAGGTGCTCCATGATCTTGGTGCATCAGTATTGTTAAGCCAATGCATAAAATGTTGTTGGTGTAAGATCATAATTGCCCTGTTTCCAAAATATATAGATAGATTGGCAAGGGTACAGCAAGAAGCAAGTGGGATGATGGATGGAATTGGTAACATAATATATAAGGATAGGCTTAGGGCCTTGGATTTCTGATCTCTGAAGTGTCACTGACTTAGAGGGAATCTGATAGAGGCACACAAAATTATGAATGGGATAGACACTGCAGATTGACATGTAGAACTGGAAGTTAGGCTGAGAAATGGAGGAAAACAAGTTTAATTTAGCAAATGGCAGGGATCAAGCTATGAACAGGCAGATGTCATTTAGTCAAAGAGTGGTGCATGATTATAATGGGCTGACAATTGATGTTGTATGAAGTCCATTTCTAGAAATGTTCAAAAAGTGTTTGGATAAACTCTATTGGTCTAAAGAACTCATTTACAACAAAATTTATGCATGTTGATCAGGTGATTAGTTCTGAGGATGTGTATGGAACCTAAGGGAGGCCAACCTTAATAGGCTCTTGTGGCCCTTGTGAGCCAGGTATCGTAATGTCCTTATGTCTTAATAGTTCTGTCATATTAAACAAAAATTGCACAATTTTGCTGTTTTCTGATGAACTAATGTTTTGGTTGACAGAGTAGTCATATCAGCAGTATACATCTAATGTAATATTGAGTACTCATGTACACCGCCACCATTCCCCTTTGTGAAATGGCTCTGTCTGACATAGATTTTGCGTGGTTGAGAATTATCTCAGCATCTGTATGCTTTGGTGTGTAGTGCATCAATTGTAGCCTTCAGAACTGCATACAGATCCTCATTATCACTGACATCATGTGAATTCAGCCACCAGTTTAATGAATGCTCCATTGGTCATATTCTGTGAGACAAGCAGTTCTTGTTTTGCTTATGGGCTAATGGTGGGGGTGAATGGGTATGTTTGTTTATGTAGTGTTTTGCTTATGCAATGTTTGCTAATGCAGTTTATCCAAGTCATGTCAGCTTATATATTACATTTGTAGTGTGCCATCTTTTAAGGCATTTCAATCTGTTTCCATGAGTGCCAATTCACATCACTTGGGACATTTTTCAGGCTCTGTGGATAAGGAAGCATGTCTCGCGGAAGCAGCGCAGGATTTGATCGCCACATCACTATATTTTCTCCTGAGGGTAGGCTCTACCAAGTAGGTGAGTGCCATTCTTTCCTAATGGGCAAATAACAGTACTGTACTAAGGTAACAGTAAGGTAAGGTGACAAGTTGGATATGGGGTTTCTAGTCCAACTTGTCTACCATCTGCCACGATCCTGGCTTCCACCTGGGATGGCAGTGCTACTTTCATTGTATTAACCAGTTTTGCTGTGATCTTTATTGTGAGCCACACAAGCCCCAAGGCAAAAAGGTCGTACTTGAGGGGTGAAAAACTTTGTACTTAAGTAGCCTAGCCCAACCCAGGTGATGGGGGTTTGGGACCTTACATCCCAGCAACCACTGATTGAAGGTCTGTGACATGTCAGGCATGATGAAAAATACTTTTGTGCCATATTCAGTTGAAATATTGTGATGAAAGCCATTTGATTAGGTGGGATTTTTCTGCACACTTGCAGTGTGAACAAAGTCTTACCTTTCACTTAACTTCGCATCAAATGGTAAAATTTCCTGCTTAAAAGCAAAAAATTATGGTGTTACTGCAACACTAGTTTCGGATCTCTAGGACCCGAGGTTGCAGACACATGGGACAAGGCCACTTGATGGAGTAAAGAATGGGGGCGGTATTACTGGCATAAGTGGGAATCATTGTGCACAACATTCGATTCTCGCTTGAAAACATACCGCGAGTTTGCCGCTTTTGGGGAGTCATGAGCCATTGACGTCGCGTCTCGGCAATCAGAGGATACCAAAACGCGAAGCCGACGGCACCGCGCAGGCGAAAGTGCTGTCCACAAAGCACCTGTCGTTGCCAACAGTGTTTGATCGATGAATACGCCAGGTACCGACCTGGAGTCGGCCAGTGTCGCGATTTCGGATGCTGGGCTAGAATACACCACGCTGACGTCACACGGGGCAATCTGTACCAAGAAAGTGGCGCAGACGGGTAGCGCAGCTCCCTGTGAACAATTACCATTCAACATGTGGCTTTCCGACAGGCTGATCACAGTGGTCTGAAATGCAACTTGTTCCCACGTGGACGATTTCGTGGCATGCAACCGTAGTGTTGGCTTGGATGGCGTTCAATAATGTACTTGTGAAAAAGACGTCCAGCTCCATTTGCTGAGGTTCCATTATCATCTGCATGATCACACTCACTTCCAACTACCTAGCCTAACTAATTCCACACCAGATAAGGCGTGTCAAGGGTAAATGATCAGCCATCATTTCCTTGGCTGCCTGTCTTCCACCAAGCCACCAGGGCGTGTTTAATGACGATGATCATGGGATGTGATAGTACTATAACATGTAGTGTGTAGTGCTGTGGGAGGTCGTGATTGCATCATGACGTTCACCATCTTTTCAGAGTATGCCTTCAAGGCTGTCAACCAGGGAGGCCTCACTTCCATAGCCCTCAAGGGAGAAGACACCGCCGTTGCTGTCACACAGAAGAAGGTCCCGGTAAATGGAAGGCCGTTACCTCGTGCCATAGCTCGGTATCATTGCGTTTTTCGTGTGTTGGATAGATGATATGATTAATTTTGCTGCGACCTTGCGGCAAAGAAGTGATTACACTATGCGCTGATGGCTGCACACTAAAGCTGCCACCTGAACGCCTTCTCAAATGTCGAGTGATTCCACGATGTACACGATATACGAACGCTTGCAGTCGCGTTGTAACCCCTTGTGAGCGTTCCGATGATGTTGGCGGCACGCTGGGTGTCCACTATTTGCTGCTGAGCTGCTGAGGTCAGTATTGTTACGAGCGTTCCCCGCGGGGGAGGGCTGTACTGACGTTTAAACGTTTGTATGGAGTACTGTTGTTTAGTATAAATGTGTCCGGGTGCAAACGAGGGCATCCTGCTGCCTTAGGACAAGCTGTTCGATGCCTCTACCATCACGCACATGTTCAAGATTACCAAGCATGTCGGCTGTGTGATGACCGGAATGACAGCCGACTCAAGGGCCATGGTATGTATGCTTCTGCTGCTCGTTTAATATAGCGTGCACAGAGGTTAATTTTGAACGATACTGAACGTGTGTGGCTATTGCGCTCACCGTCGTTTCTGATAAGTTAGTAGCTTTACTTGCTCAGGTTCCTTTTTGCATCCATGGATGTTCTTAGCTGGAATGCGTGGTTTCCATTCAAGCTCCTTTATTTCAGTAGCGCGATCAGTTCTTACCACATTCGAACCAGCGCGTGCTTCTCTTCGATCGTACGGCCTACGGCTCTGTAAGCCTGTATCGTGCGTCTGCCCCTCCCCCGACTGTCCCCACCCCCGAGGTATCGCTGGTGCGTCACCGTGCGGGCGCGCTGTTGGACAGGTGCAGCGGGCGCGCATCGAGGCGGCCAACTGGCGCTACAAGTACGGCCACGACATCCCCGTGGACATGCTCTGCAAGCGCATGGCCGACATATCGCAGGTGTACACACAGAACGCCGAGCTACGCCCGCTGGGCTGCTGTGAGTGCCGCTCCCGGGCCGGGCGCCGCCGGCCGCTCGGTCACCGCCCGTCACTGTCGGTCACCGCCGGTCACTGTCGGTCACCGTCGGTCACTGTCGGTCACCGCCGGTCACTGGCGGTCGCCGCCGGTCACTGGCGGTCACCGCCGGTCACCGCCGGTCACTGGCGGTCACCGCCAGTCACTGTCGGTCGCCGCCGGTCACTGCCGCCGCGGCTGGTGACGGCGATTCAGTGATGAGGCTGTGAAGCTGACTGAGCTGCTCCGGTTGTAGCTCAGTGAGGCAGCCGGCTGACTTGTCGGATGACTGGGCCGGCTGGTGCGGGCACGGACTGGAGGGTTGCGAGGAGCCAGCTGCCTCATCGAACAGAAGGCGTCGACTGGTACAACTGATTTCTCAGTGCAGATGCATCGACACAAATCAATCTTGGCCCATCCGAATTAGTGCAGAGCAAGCCATCGCGCTGTTCAGCTCGGCCCAAGCTGAATCCTGACTGACGTCACGCGGCGCCTACCATGGGTCTCCAGTTGGTCTGCTGCCGCAGCTGACCTGTGTGTGACGCTGCACTGCGCCGTCTGACCGCCCGCCGGTGCCGCGTGTGGCAGGCATGACCCTGATCGCCTACGACGACGAGCTGGGACCGTGCGTGTACAAGGCGGACCCGGCCGGCTACTTCTGCGGCTTCCGCGCCTGCAGTGTCGGCGTCAAGCAGACCGAGGCCAACGCCTTCCTCGAGAAGAAGCTCAAGAAGAAGACGGACTTCGACCACACAGAGGCCATTCATGTAAGCAGCTCGGGCCGCCGGGCTCACCTTTGAGGTTTACGTTGCCAGCGTGGCGGTCCGTGGTTGGACGCAAGGTGTAAAAATGTATTGCTCACCATTCCTGACGCTCAACATTGTTCATTGGTTTTTAGCAATCAAGTTATGTGAGGTAATCGCTGCAAACTGGCGCCATGCTCTGGTCACGAGACGTGCTTGGAATGCGTTTTAACGCTGCTAAACGTGCCAGGTTCGAAGCGTTCACAGTGGTATGTGCAGGGAAGCGCACATTGTCAGCTCTGTCGTCGGTGCACTGTCTGGTTGTGGTTGGGTTGGGTTAGGACACCACTGACGGTGATGTCCGGTGCCGCAGCTGGCTATCACGGCGCTCTCGTCCGTGCTGTCGGCCGACTTCAAGCCCACGGAGATCGAGGTGGCCGTCGTCTCCAAAGATCAGCCCGAGTTCAGGTGAGAGTGTGGCGCGCGCCGAGCGGCGGCTCCCAGCGCACCGCCGGAGACTGGGGACGAAACGAGTTCCGTCTCTTCACATGCTCGCAGTGCTGGTGCTGTGGATGGTACGGTATGACAAACGCCATTGCTGGAAGCACAAACCCGTTTTCCAAAACCAGGTGAATAATTTAACTGACACAACCAACTGAACAACAAACTCAGAATTCATTCAAAAGCATATTGCAGTCAATGTGCAGGCCACAAATGGCACACGTGCCCCCTGTTACGCGCCGCGCTTAACACCCCCACCGGTTGCCGTTGGGGATGGGTGGGTGGGGGTGTGGCTGCGCGGCTGACAGCGTGCGTCGTTGATCCGCAGGACGCTGACGGAGGCAGAGATCGACGCGCACCTGACGACCATCGCCCAGAACGACTGAGCGGGCTGACTGCCGACCGCGCCGCGCTCGTCTCACCTCAATACACTGTTCTGTTCTGGCCGCGCGTCTGTGCTGTGTGCGTGAGGAGGTGGGGAGGTGGCGGGGCCGACGTGGAGGTAGGCCGAGCTGGAAACACGGACGCCAGACCGCTAGAGCGCGAGCACATCGTGGTGGACGCCGCTGGCAGACTGCGGTGGTGTTCCAGGGCTGGGCGGGCCTACCGTGTGGCGTGGAGCGACGCTCTGTACTCGCCAACTGAAGGCGGTTACCTCGAGCCGGAGGCTAGGCGACGGCGCAGCGCGATGGCGCGGCGCCTCCTGTTACGGAGCTGAGCACAGATGTGGGCTGGGGCGATTTCGTTCGCGACACAATTGCGTTAATTCGGCGCACTCTCGCCCGTGCACTGGATCGGTGCCTGCACTGGATCGGTGCCTGGATATTTCCAGTACTTTTCTTTGTGGTTCACTTTGGCTGGATAGTCGCGTTTAAGTCCACATTGTAGGCAAACTGCTTGGGCTGTTAGGTTGGAGCGTTGGCTACCCCGAGGGGGGATGGGGGTGCATCCGAGCTGCGTATTACGCAAGCCAAGAATAATGGCGGTCGCCACAGACCAGATCCGCCGGCGTACAATGAATCAGCAGCCGCAAATCAGAGCGTGAATGCAGTTCTGGTAGCCTCTCCGATGAACAACTTACTTAGCGCCGACACCTAGTGCCGGACATTGTGGAGCTCATTCACGTCTATGCGAGACTGCCGGACAGCGCCCCTCCCAACAGTCCGAACAGCGACACAACCCGTTGCCTCGTCAACCTCACAAAGTCTCCAGTCAGTCGGACATGTATTGATACAAACGCGAGGCGATACACTGCGATGGCGATGCGGGCAGCTCCTGCCGTGAGAGGGATGGGTCAGTCGGCTGGCCAGTCGCTATTTGCCCTGCGCTGTGGCCAGCGGGTTGCGCAGCACCAGAATCACCGAGTCGCCGCGCAAGAACAGCTTCGAAATGTACCGGTCCTTGTTCACCGGCTTGGCCTGAGGAAGGAGCGGGGTCAGACACTGCACGGACCTGTACCAGGCCCTCGCACGAGGCACGACTAATGATGTAGGCTGAACCTGCGGCGAGGGACGAAGGGCAAACCAGGACTGTGGATCCCGACGCCATGAAATATCACAATGTGTACAATGCATCTGGGTCCAGTGCGGCCATTAAAGTCGACAAGATTTCTGCGTCAATGACTAGAAATGTCATCAAAATCAGTCTACCCATCACTTCTCATCTTATTTATCATCTTATCTATCTTCTCATATCTATTAATATTGTATATCATCTTATATATATATATATATATATATATATATATACATTCTATCAATCGGCTTACACTTCTTTGAAACTATGTCACCAAGCATTTTCAGTAAGTATAACATGCCTTTCTGCATGTCCATGTACCTAGCACTGCATGGAGAAAGGTTGTCTGCTTACCTTTTTCTTGCCTTTGCCCGTTTTTGGCAGCTCCGTCCACATCTCTTTCACATTCTCCAGGACCATGTTGCAGTGCCGATCAAAGGCTTTGACACGGGCCAGCAGTTTCTTGTTGTTGCGACAATTGATGAGTACCTGGGTGTTGTTCTTAACTGACTGGGTCAGCACAGACAATGGGCCTGTGTTGAACTCTTCCTCTTCCATCTTGGCCAGCTCCTCAGGGTTCATCTCTGACCTGGGCTTTGGTGCACTGTAAGACATAGGGTGGGTTACATGTTGATAGTCCTATGCTGACCTGGATATATACAAAGTGTTTTAAGGGTTTATCCATACTGCTGTGAATGCTGGCACAGTAGAAAGCCTATTACACATTTCATCCCTAAGTGTCATTGTAGCCAGTGCACATTTTATTCTGGATAAGCATGTTACCCTAAATGTTTTTTTCAGAGCAAAATCATGACCGCTACTTCACCATGTGTACTCTTTAAATCTGAACATTTAATGTTTGGCACGGTCACCACCAATGTCAGCGCATAACAGGTTGCAGGCTGGAGAGATACTCCAAAGATTTCTCCACACAAAAATCGCCCAATAATTCTGAGTGATTTGGTCTAGCCCTCATTTGGAGCACAGAAGCATGAAGTTCAATACACAGACATTGTACAGACATCTCAGTCAACATACAGATTTGTTGTGAACTGGTCACCACTTAAAAAATACAACTAACCTTTCTATAACACCAAACTGATCTGATCTAGCTAAAACAACGGAAAACCCATTGGAAAGTAACAGCAACTTACGTCATTGTTGCGGGAGGAACTTGACGTTCAATTAATATGCAGCACTTCGAACAGCCTCAAAGACGGGCGTAGAAGCAGCCTGGATTCTTCGACACAGTTAAGTGCACAGCAAGCTAAAACCTTCACGCGGAAACAAGAGACAAAATTGAAACTTCCCCCTCCACGGGATGATACCAATCCTTCGCGCCAGAGCATACACTTCTCAAAGCTTGTTCAAAACGTTACCGGTATGATGCGGTTACCAAGCATAGTATTGTACAAAGTTTCGAAAGCCACCGCGAGAGGCGGTAGCATCGCCACGATGAAACATCCATGCGCTTGCGCACACTAGCGTCACCTACGGAGAGAATAAAAAACAAAGATCGACTTGCTCTAAACCAAATCTGCGGCAAACATCACGGCATGCGTCGATTCGTACATTTGCTTCCAGATCGAGAATGGCTGCCAAATTACGAGAAAATCCTGACTGTTGTGCGAGGCCCCAAAGCTGCAGGTGCGTCATTCCACTGCCTCTTTCACTTACTCATTTCCTTAAACTCAACTCAACCCATCCGCTTTCATTTCTGAATAATATATGTTTTTTAGTCATTTACCGCCGTAGGTAGTCATTTAGTTGTTATGGGCGCAAAATGACCACAGTAGTCGACGCGCCCTAAAACTCCAATCAACAAACAATAAACTTAACCGGGGCTGTCTCACGAGAGATGATGCTATGGCGCATGGCAGGGAGAGAATGAAATCGAATTTATCGTGGGTTTTTATGGGGCGGCATATCAAATGCGTTCGTGTTCACAGATTCGACGCTGTTCTGTTATTGTTGCAGACCATAAACCAGAAAGCATAGTTTCGTAGGTGTTTCGGCCAATCAAATGTCCCGAGTAGTCCGCCGTGTCTTGGCATTCTGGGTCATGCACTGGTGTAAGGTACCTTGATCGTACCTCCTGCTAAATAGGGCCACTGTATCGTAGTTATTCCTTTTGTACGTCTTGAGTCCTGTGATCCCCACCAATTCGTGAAAAACTTTTGTCAGATACAACCGCTGTGCGTTGCATTGAAACCGTAACGATGCCTATGGTGAAAGGATTGACTTATGGACATATCGCAAGGGACTATGTGCGTAAATGGGCACTCAACATGGCTCGGAATATTTAAGAATTGCTCAAGTGGTGACTAATGCGCAGATTTCAAGAATCGTCAAACCGCACGACATCAGGACGCCTACAAAATGTGTGCAAACGAACTGCTTGCGTGGCATCTCGCCGTCAGTAAGGCGATGCCTGCCGAATTATAAACGACAATTGTCCACCCACATGCTCTAGTCGCTATAAAATCCAAGAGGCATCGCCAGAAAGCCCTCTGGCCGCGCCGTGACCAGAGGACCGCAGATCCCCCCCCCCCCCCTCCTGGCGCGCGGCATCGCCCCGCCCTGCCCCTTCTGCCCGGCCCGTGGGCGGTTCGTGCTCCGCGTCGGCGCCGGCGCGTGCCCGTCGGCTCCGACGGCCGTCGATCGATGTCGCCGGCGGCTGCGTGACGGGCGACGGCGTCGACACGGCCCAGGTGCTGCCAGCCACACGCAGCGCGGGGGGCACAGCGACGCTGGCGACGAGTTCATCCCAGCCGGCCCAGGTGAGGCGCCGACGGCTAGCGGTCTGGTGAGAGGTGTGGGAGCTCACCAGGATGGGGTGATGTACTGTTGGAAGGGCTTGGAAAGCGTTTTTGTGATGAATGAGTGCTATGCAAATGCAGAACGTTGTCGGCTATGCAGGAAATTTGGTCGTGTGTATACCATCAGAGCTGAGGCAATGTTTTGGGGCGACTTATCAGGCATAACGCGTATGCTTAAAGGTTAAAACCATGCATTTTTATTTGTCCAGAAAGCCAGCGCCACCAACACCTATCACGCCCTTCTCGATAAAAAGGAAACATGCTGGTGCAGGTCGAACAGACCCCAAGAGCAGAGATCAAATTTTGTGTGCGGTCCTTGTCTGCTACCGGAGCTTTTAAGTTTAAACCATGTGAGAAAACCCTGATGTGTTCATGTTTGAAAGAAGTGTGCTGTGCCACATCGCACTCGTATTCTCTCTGGCTAGTTTGACTTGCACCGCGTGGTCCAGTTGAGAAAGAGGTTTGTGCCGCAACGCGCGAATTTGTTCTGTTTGTGGGAACTCTGCCCCCCCCCCCCGCTCTAGCTGTTTGTCGCGGCCTCCCAATAGTTCGCTGTAGTAAACAATATTTCCTAAACCTCAGCAAAAGCAGCGAATAAATGCGTCATAGAGGAAGACAATGCACTCACCTCTAACCTAATAACGAAGGCAGAGACCGTACAGCGTCAGAATCATCCTCCTAGTGGTGCTTGAGTCTCACTTTCGTAAGTCAGAATGTACACCACTGATGTGAAATCACGATGAGGAGGCTGTGCCCAGCCAATGCCGGCTCACAATGATCACGAGAAGTCATCAGACCCCGAGGACCGCCTCCATAGTAGTGTTTAACCCCCACGTGGTCTGAGGTGACCCACGGTCATGGGGTCACGAAGGGCCCACCACATCACGGGGCCCGAGGACTAACTGACGACGATGGTGAAGGTGGTGAAGGTGAAGAGTAACCTCCACGTGGTCTGCACCTCCAGATGTGAGGTCACCATGAGGAGCCATCAGAACGTGAGAACCCTCTCGCTGGTGGTGTTCACCTTCACCTTCCTGCTGATCGGAGCTGCGGTATTCGACGCGCTCGAGTCGGAGATGGACGAGAAGCACCAGCACGTGCTCGGGGGTGAGCTCACAAGCTCAGCTGCGGCGCCAAACACTGGAGGAATGTGTCACGCGTCCGCGCACTTGGGCACTTGCTGTGCCTAATAGGGCCAGCGCCATGGCTGCGACTGCCTTACATCCATGGCTGCTCGCACTGCACAATAGATTCGTGTCTCAGCTGCACGTGGTATCGGTCGCAGAGTGATCAGATCGGTTATTGTCACATCACCATCGATATCTACGTCATGTTATTATGCATGCAGAGCAGTCATATGCAAAACTTGCGATCAAATGTCCTCAGTTATATTTATAACAAAAGCCGTCTACAGGCCAATGGTGAACTTTCAATGTTGTTCACATTGTCGATATCAACCTCACGTGCCTACAGCCGTAGTTTCACGAGCAAGAGGAGCTTACTGCAGATAGTAACACAGAAAATAACCATCCGTGGCAACCGCAAGCTGCTTTACACTGCCCTGCCTTTTCAGACATGGAGGAGAACATGAAGCGCAGATATGGCATCACTGACGAAGACTACAGAGTGCTGGAGACGACCATTATCAAGATGGAGCCTCACAAAGCGGGACCCCAGTGGAAGTTCATCGGGGCGTTCTACTTCGCAACGGTGGTGTTGGTCATGATAGGTCGGTCTCGTTCCGCTCGTTGGTGCGTGGATTGCTCTTTATATTCACGCAGCGCTGCGTGCGTTGGTTTGCGGTCTGACTTCTGGATCCGCGTTACTGGTGCTCATGGCATCCTTCAAACGATGCACAAATGCGGATTCAATAAGGAATAATGCGTGTTGGCATATGTGTGTCTGTTAAAATGAATCTCTCTGCGGCTATTCTTTGACCTTCAGAAAAGCCCGCGAGCAGTACAGTCGTAAAACAACGACCTGAATGCCAGACACTAGATTGACCCAGCCCTAGGATTTCCCCACTACGCGTTACTCGTTGAGTATGCCGACTCACTGTAACGATGGTGACCAGCTCGTGAAAAGTCTAACATCCCTGGCGATACCGACAGGGTACGGGCACAGCACGCCGGCCACAGTTGGCGGGAAGGCGTTTGTCATCCTGTACGCCATCATCGGCATCCCCATGGGCCTCGTCATGTTCCAGCACATCGGCGAGAGACTCAACAAGGGAGCGTCCATCATCATCAAGAAGCTGAAAATTCTATTCCGGCGAAAAAATCCCGAGGTAGCGCATATGTTGTTTTTGCTTGTTGATTCCAGATAATAGGAGGTCTCTCAGTAAATGAAACATTCCGTGCAAGCGCATTAAGAGCCCTTGACAGGTATTCAAACTAGCTCACACATTGCAATACAGAACTATGTTCGCGATGCAATAGTTCTAGCGGTGTGGCGAGGGCGTTTGCTGTATTCAACGTATGCGTCGCTTATGCAGCATATTGTCGGAAATTATGTATGCATGTGTCGTAACGCAATTCCACGTTTGCAACGCATCATGATGGTCGAGGCTGCCCGTCTTCATTTCCCCCATTACATGGCTTCAAGACGGCTCAGGGGACAGTCTTCACAACGGCTTTGATCTGTCGCCCGCAGATATCTGAGCATTTCCCCCATTACATGGCTTCAAGACGGCTCAGGGGACGGTCTTCACAACGGCTTTGATCTGTCGGCCCGCAGATATCTGAGCATTTCCTCCCCCATTACATGGCTTCAAGACGGCTCAGGGGACGGTCTTCACAACGGCTTTGATCTGTCGCCCGCAGATATCTGAGCATTTCCCCCATTACATGGCTTCAAGACGGCTCAGGGGACGGTCTTCACAACGGCTTTGATCTGTCGGCCGCAGATATCTGAGATTGACCTGATGGTGGCCACCTTCTTTCTCAGCTTTCCTCTGTCGCCCGCAGATATCTGAGATTGACCTGATGGTGGCCACCTTCTTTCTCTCTACCATTATTACTACGTCTGGGGCGGCCATGTTCTCGCACTACGAGAGGTGGAGCTACTTCGAGTCCTTCTACTACTGCTTCATCACGCTCACCACCATCGGCTTCGGAGACTACGTTGCGCTGCAGGTGGGAAGACAAATCTGCTTGGTGTCTGGGCCTGGGGGATGGCGTATGCAGGTAGCGTTAGTTGTAGCGAGATGGTGGTGAAAAGCAAGCTCCTGGTGATGTTGACCCTGCTTTCCCCGGTGTTCGTTGTTGTGGGCAATGTCGAAACGGCCACCAACTTGTTGGCCATTGTATTTTGTTATTATTGTTCTGGGGGGAGGGTAGGTCCTGCATGATCTCCTTAGGCAAAGCATAGTAAGAGGCAACAATAGTATATATGAAAATGTAGAGGCGTTGGTGTTTACAGTATTTGCGCGCAAATAGATCAAAACACACATACGGGACTTGGGTACAACTGATCTTTCCCCGCCTCACCCTTAAACATCTGGCACGTTGCATTTTCCTAGAACCGCCTGACCTCGACCTTTCTAAATTTAAACCACCGACAATCAGTTACACTTAAATCTGAGCCAACGACACTTACACTCAGCGGCCTGGCTGCTACGCGTTTTTATTTGCCCATCTGACCACCTTGACCGCCTGACCTTAACCGTCTGACCTTGGCCGTCCGAGTTCGGGTGCCTGTCCCCTGACCGTCTGACCTTGGCCGTTTGATATTGACCGTCTGACCTTGGCCGTCTGAGTTCGGGCGCCCGTCCCTTGACCGTCTGACCTTGACCGTCTGCTCTTGACCGCCTGACCTTGGCCGTCTGAGTTCGGGCGCCTGTCCCCTGACCGTCTGACCTTGACCGTCTGATCTTGACCGTCTGACCTTGGCCGTCTGAGTTCGGGTGCCCGTCCCCTGACCGTCTGACCTTGACCGTCTGATCTTGACCGTCTGACCTTGGCCGTCTGAGTTCAGGTGCCTGTCCCCTGACCGTCTGACCTTGACCGTCTGATCTTGACCGTCTGACCTTGGCCGTCTGAGTGCGGATGCCTGTCTCCTGACCGTCTGATCTTGACCGTCTGACCTCGGCCGTCTGAGTTTGGGCGCCCGTCCCTTGACCGCTTGACCTTGACCGTCTGATCTTGACCGTCTGACCTTGGCCGTCCGAGTTCGGACGCCTGTCCCCTGACTGTCTGACCTTGACCGTCTGACCTGAGCGCAGAAGGACCACGCGCTTTCCGAGAAGCCGGGCTACGTGGCGATGGCGCTCATTTTCATCCTGTTCGGCCTGGCTGTGCTCGCCGCCAGCATGAACCTACTGGTGCTCCGCTTCATGACAATGTAAGCCGCACGGCCGCCCCAGGCGTTGAAGCACTCTGTAGGGCCCCGTCATGGACCCGTAGCCGTTTACGCCGACGGGGACAGAGGCAGTGCTGCATATTTGTGCGATAAGGAGCGCAGTGCTGTTACAAAGCGTTGAGAGTATAAGTTTGACTCGAAAATCATTGCAATTGGCATGCTAATCGTGTCTCGACGGTGTTGCAGCGGCACCTCCCAGTGCTATCATTAGACCAGCTAGTCCTCAGGTTTCACTAGAGTACGTTTTTGAAATATGCCCCAGGCGTGGGACACACCCTTGAAAGCATTTGAAAAAACTAATGGTCATACGATTTATACCTCATGGATATGGAGGGGAAAAAGTAGGTGCTGTCTGATGTGTTCGTATTGGTTGTGTTGCAACAAAATGTTTATCTATTGGAATGCTGAAAAACCTCGGTCACAAAACTCCGAAGCAGTTTGTACGTTGCAGTATGATGGAAACCAACTGGCAAATGAATGGGACGGCGGCAATGCTGACCATTCGTGTCAGCGTTTGTAAGCGACCTGAATAGTGCTGAACTGGTGCGAAGTGGCGTTAGTCCGGCTGGCTGCGAATGTCGCCGCCATGCCACTCTTCATGCTGTACTCCATAAAACGTCATTTTTGTTCCCATCTCCCACCGTAATCTGTAATCTCCCACCGTAATCTGTAATCTCCCATCGCAATCTGTAATCTCCCACCGTAATCTGTAATCTCCCACCGTAATCTGTAATCTCCCACCGTCATCTGTAATCTAGCAGTAATCTGTCATGGGCGTGGCCGGCTTGTGAAGCAGGCCAATAGGATGGTCTCACCTGTCCTGGGAAAACCCAAAACTGCGGGCCCAGCAGACTGTGGCGGCTCGCGTTCTGTCCCGGTCGAGGCTCGGCCCCGCCGGCTCTGTCCCAGTCACGCCGTCGCTCTTCCAGGAACACCGAGGACGTGAAGCAGGTGGACGGGGACATGCAGCCGGCCTCCTCCTTCCTGTCGCTGGATGGAGAGTCGCTCATCATCAACGGTGAGTGGTCCGGGCGGTCGACTGCAGCCGAGCGGCGGACGTCGCTCTTCGGAGACGCGGCGTCGACACGTGACTGGCCGCCGCTGGTGGCATTGTCCGTGATTGTGTCGACCGGATATTGGATGGGGAGTAGCGTTTGCCCTGATGAAGGGACGCCTCGAAATGATCTCCGAGTCCGAAACGACGCGGTCTCCGAGTCCGAACGATGCGGTCTCCGAGTTAGAATCACGCGGTCTCCGTGTCCGGAACGACGCGAGTAACACGTCTTTTTTAAGGATGCCGAGTTCGACCGCTGTAACAACTGGTTTTCGTGTTGCCAGGCAACATGATCGCCCAGATGTCGCACCAGACACCGGAGACCATGAGCTTCGTCTCCCACACGTCCGTATGCTCCTGCCACGTGCTACCCGAGACACTCTCCGGGAGGGAGGGACAGGTAAGAGTTGTCTCCCCACCCGTTCCGTATGCTCCTGCACGTGGTACCCGAGACATCTTCCGGAGGGAGGGACAGGGTAAGAGTTGTCTCCCACCTGTCCGTATGCTCCTGCACGTGCCTACCCGAGACACTCTCCGGGAGGGAGGGAACAGGTAAGAGTTGTCTCCCACCCGTCCGCGTGCTCCTGCACGTGCTACCCGAGACACTCTTCGGGAGGGAGGGACAGGTAAGAGTTGTCTCCCCACCCCGTTCCGCTATGCTCCTGCCACGTGCTACCCGAGACACTCTCCGAGAGGGAGGGACAGGTAAGAATTGTCTCCCACCCGTCCGCGTGCTCTTGCACGTCCCACCGAGACACTCTCCAGGAGGGAGGGACAGGTGAAAGTTGTCTCCCACACGTCCGTGTGCTCCTGCACGTGCTACCCGAGACATTCTCCGAGATGGAGGGACAGGTAAGAGTTGTCTCCCACCCGTCCGTATGCTCCTGCACGTGCTACCCGAGACACTCTCCGGGAGGGAGGGACAGGGTCGACACAGTTGTTCTCCCACACGTCCGTGTGCTCTTGCACGTGCTACCCGAGACACCTCTCCGGGGAGGGAGGGACAGGTAAGAGTTGTCTCCCACCCGTCCGCGTGCTCCTGCACGTGCTAACCGAGACACTCTCCGGGAGGGAGGGACAGGTAAGAGTTGTCTCCCCCACGTCCGTATGCTCCTGCACGTGCTACCCGAGACATCTTCCGGAGGGAGGGACAGGTAAGAGTTGTCTCCCACCTGTCCGTATGCTCCTGCACGTGCTACCCGAGACACTCTCCGGGAGGGAGGGACAGGTAAGAGTTGTCTCCCACCCGTCCGCGTGCTCCTGCACGTGCTACCCGAGACACTCTTCGGGAGGGAGGGACAGGTAAGAGTTGTCTCCCACCCGTCCGTATGCTCCTGCACGTGCTACCCGAGACGTTCTCCGGAGGGAGGGGCAGGTAACAGTTGTCTCCCACACGTCCGTGTGCTCCTGCACGTGCTACCCGAGACACTCTCCGGGAGGGAGGACAGGTAAGAGTTGTCTCCCACCCGTCTGCGTACTCCTGCGCCTGCTACTCGAGAAACTATCCGGGAGGAACGGCCAAGTTAGAGGGCTCAGAACGTGACCTTTGTCTCCCAAACGTCTGTGTGTCCCTGCAAGTGTGATCTGAGACACCCTTCAGGAGGGAGGGGTAGGTAGGAGAGCCTCAGGACGAGGCCCCCGGAATCGTGTATGCACCACTGAAGGACGTTTATCGGACAGGGAGGAACTTTTCCACTGTTTTCCTTCCACGCATTATTACCGTAAGCTTGGAAAGGAGCTTCCCTTTTCAGCGGCCCCCGCTTTGGCTGCCACAGCGGAACCAGATATCTTGCGCTGGTCACAATACGTAACCGCTGTGCAGAGGGGGTCATGGCCGGGCTCACGACGCACTCAGTCCGACAGGTCAGCTGGGAGGGGCCAGACTCGGTCTGTTCCGCACAGCAGCTACGTACCGCGGAACAGCTCAGGGTTTGGGATACAGATGTGCGCGACCAAGACGAAGGTCGCAGGGAAGATGAGGACATTTTTATATTACAAGTGCACGAAAATAGCACACAAAACGCAACACGGAAATAGCTGTGTGTTTCGCTTCCAAAGCGGCTTACTGAGCATTTGATATGCATTTCTGCGGTCCATTTGGGCATGGAATAACCTGCACGCCAAGTCTTATACTAGGTACGACAGTTTAAAAAAACTGCTGCTGTCCAAATTTGATTCTGGCAGCACCCAAACGCATAAATAATCCCCAAAAGTTACTACCCTGCATGCAGCCTAACTCCGACCGCCACGTCTACCCGGTGTATGTTCGCTGGCTGATCTGTGACCAGCGACCTCAGCTGGCCTGTGACCTCTGACCTAGGCTGAGCTCGGCTGACCCGGCAGGTACGGCACCACGCGCCGCCCGTCCCGTATCTCCCACCTGCTGGACGCGGTGCCGGGGGAGCCGGCCCACATCACTGAGACACGCGACGACGAGCGGTTCGACCTGGAGACCCCCGAGGACGTCTTCGGCCGCTCCCTGAAGAGGGCCTCCGTGTAGACGAGCGGTTCGACCTGGAGACCCCCGAGGACGTCTTTCGGCCGCTCCCTGAAGAAGGCCTCCGTGTAGACGAGCGGTTCGACCTGGAGACCCCCGAGGGACGTCTTCGGCCGCTCCCTGAAGAGGGCCTCCGTGTAGACGAGCGGTTCGACCTGGAGACCCCCGAGGACGTCTTCGGCCGCTCCCTGAAGAAGGCCTCCGTGTAGACGAGCGGTTCGACCTGGAGACCACCGAGGACGTCTTCGGCTGCTCCCTGAAGAGGGCCTCCGTGCAGACGAGCGGTTCGACTTGGAACTCCCGAGGACGTCTTCGGCCATTCCATGGAGAGGGGCTCCGTGTAGACCAGCAGTTCGACCTGGAGACTCCCGAGGACGTCTTCGGCCGTTCCATGGGAGAGGGGCTCCGTGCAGAGTTGCGGCGCTACGCTGTGCCATGTCGCCTGCTTCGACAGCGCTGCTACACTCTTTTGCTGTCGTAGGTAGCCAACGGACAACACGTTCTTTGTTGTCCGTAAGTAGAGGACGCCTACGTTGACGAGTGAAGGCGGTGCCCGTTATGGCAACTACGGATTTTGTCGCGCGATAAACCGCTGAAAGCAACGTCCCATCCGTTCTGTCTTTGGTCGGATACGGCAGCAAAAGGTGTACTATTGCTGCAATGGTTCGCTTATAGCGTTGCACACCTTGTGCAGCATAGCCTACATATGCAGCGTTGTGTTCTGATGTCATGTGTGTTCGGCCTCGAGCCCGCTGTGCCAAGCCTGCCTCGTTTTAGAGTCGGCCAGATGCGGTGCAGAGGATCTACCGCTGCCAGGTCGGCGGAAGCGCGGTGCAGTGCAAGAATGTCATTGAAGTAGCGGAATAATTCAGAACAGGGTAGATTTTTAAGACATAGATTACAGGGGCCGTTCTGGGAAAGGGCGTTGCAATGAACAAACTGCGTTGTTTGTAGAATCGCCGCAGGGATTTTCACTTCTGAGCGTTTCACTTTCAGCCCGTGTGTTTATATTCGAAAGAGCAAGAGGTTAAACCGGAGGAGAGAAAGGGAAGGGCCACGCTTAGGTGTGATAGCGTTATAAAAGTAATCATCATTCATGCATTAAGCTTGAAACTGCAATGTCATCAAAAGCCAAGGCCATTTGAGACCACTGAACGACTTCAGATAACCTCTAATCACCTTCGATGCAATTGGTGGCGTGCTCCGACTTCAACCAGCGTTACTTTGAGATCATATAATTATGCTGTTTTCCACGCAAAGACGTCAAAATGTGATTTAACATCCCGTAAGACCACCATCCAGTAGGGCCACCCCATAGGGACACCTCACACCGACCTCTGCAAAAGCTGTAGTCCGAGCACGAAATTTCATCTTTTTTTGTTTTTGATTTCCAATTTCAGGAACCGATTTGGCAATGGGTTCCTCTATGCTGCAGATGGGGATGAGACGAAACCAGCGGTGTTAGCAGTGCTAAGAGCGATATGTTGCTACCAGCGAATCGTGGGACTATGTTTCTGTGTGAGGTAAATGTTTTTTTGTCATAATTAATGGACAATGGTCATGCGCGGGGGATCGGCGGTGTTTTTATAAAAGCTGGCGTGCACTTATGCCTGGCACAAGCGTTATCCATAAGTGTACCCGAGCCAGTATTTGCATCGGCAAGGCTATCTGTGAAATAGCCGATATATTTGTTTTGCGGCCTAACGCAGGCAAGCAGGCCGGCTTCATAAAACGAAGCTGTTAACCTAAGCCATTTTATAAGCGCAATGTACATCGCGGTTTTCAAAAACGACGAAGTTTTTTCCGCAAAGTCCGGTAATAGCCCACTTTTAGCTCAGCCTTGACTCTCCAAATGCACCCTGCCTGGATGTGTGCTTGTGCAAAACGATTTAAAGTACGTAATGGGTATTTCCGGGTCATAAAATGGGCCATTATCAGCACTGTTAATTGCAAAACTGCATCGGCACAACGTCAAATGATTTTCCAGCGTATTATCATATTTGTGTCGCCAACGATTGTGTCGGGTACCTGCATGAATATACGGTTAGTATCAAATATTGCAGAGCAAACTTGACGGGAAAATAGTTGCGTGGCTGAATTTTGTGGAAATGCAAAAGATGTGAGCACACTCTTTTGCATCTGTGACGAGATTGTTTCCGTGTGTTTCAGTCATCTGCCTTATTCACCTCACCAATATCCATGCTCCTTAACACGGAACACATAACAGGCACCAACCATCCATCACATGAAGCAACGTGAACAAAAATTTTAAACAAGGTGAACAAGCGCTACAAAAGTGAAACCATTCTTGATTACCCGTGATTTTTGCGATTCTTGCATATTTTCTCTTACACCTGCACTTGCTTTTAACAACTCAATGTTTTCACTGGACATCGCACATGCCTGTTGATATTTCTAGAACACCTGATGACATGGCGATTTGTTTAAATCAAGCATTTACTCTTGGTACAGAAAGAACCTGTCATTGCGTTCCTTGAAAAGACAGGGATAAGACCATCAACTACGCCTTACAAATCAGGTATTGAACCGACTCTGAGCGTTGACGAATTCCAACGTGTTGCCAGTGCATGTTATTTTTGTTGTCAGGAAATTTCATCACTGCATTTGACAAACTGGTGCCCAGTGACGTAATGATTCCGTGACGCTCACATCCTGCCAGTCCATTTCATTTTCAACCTACCTTAACCATTCATGGCCGGGGAAGTGCGGAAAATTTCGGCCCAGCGATTGAAGTCACTGAAGTTACCAACGTCACTGAAGGTGGAACCTCTGCAAAATATAAAGCTGAACAGCATGGGGGTACCTGTGTGTGAAGCATGTATCTCTACTAAGGTGACCCGATCGATCGCGTTTCTTTGTTATCGGTTCGTGAAGGGTGCACCCGTCATTAGCCTCGAGCCAAGCACAGGCCTGCAAACTGGGACAACTTGGCGGTATCGCAGAAAAAAAACGGGAGGTCCAGTCGGTACTTTAGGCGCTAAAAGAACAAAAAAAAAAATGCTTTTACGCATGCCAGAATCTTAAAGTTTGTCATCAAGCCCGCTGTGTGAGCAAAGGACAATATTCACCAGATATTTCAAACAGTTCGTGCAGTCCGGACCTTTTACCGGACAAGCGAGGTATTGGTTCAACAATTGAGTACAAATTTTTACCGATAACTTTGTCTTGGTAGCCAGATACACTGTTGATGATGGATATTTTATACCGTGCAATACTAAAACACATCTGTCCCGCGCCGGTCGGGTTCTACAGCGGTTTGTACTCACTGCCTCCACAAAAAAGCACAGACCATAAATATGCAGGCTGCAAAAGTAGTGAGTTAGAACGTTCTTTCGTGTACGGCGGCGGCCGTCGATGCCCAGTGGTGGTTGTTGATCTACAAAATCAGGCAACCAAATCCTAAGTTTATGAGAAGCTGGGATTTTGATCCCTAAATAAACACTAACAAGGACGTGTGGCTTAGGTGGCGAAGGTGGCATGGCATGCATGACAGTGGCCGTGCCAACTCCAAAGTTATGTGGCGTGGCCGGATTAACTTTTGACACTGAGCCAGCTGACAGCAGTTCGCTATCATCCCTCATGGTCGTTACGAGTTCATGGAAGAAGGAGCCAGCAAGACGCCGAAATTTAGTGCCAGCAATGAGTGTGCTGTTAATTGCACTAAAGCATGTAATTTTGATTACAATAAAACAAAGTGGAAAATGGAATGGCACGAAACATTTAACTTCCCATGGATAGATCCACGGGACGGCCGAGATGCCGTTAATCGGCGTCAGGTGCAAGCCATAGCGTTGTTTGCTTCTTCGACACGGCAGGACTATGGGAGCCGCATTGGTGGCTGATGTCGCTTAACCATCTCAAGGTCCCTAGTTTCATCAAGATGGTCCATTTTCGTCTTGGATTTCTCGGATATCTTGCGCTACTTCATAGATGTGAGGATCCTAGATTACCTCAGGGGCCAAAGACACAAACGCGTCAGTGGAAACAGAAAATGCCTGCTCAAGCTTTGCACATTTCAAGATTGGGCGAAATCCTCAATCCGTAACGCGATTTAAGTGGTCCATAGATTCAGTATCCTGGTCGTTCACCCTCACTGGAAGCCCACCGTTTCAATCTCGCCACGTTAATTAGCTACTCAGCTGTCATTGATTCAGCAGACTAGACTCATTTTCTTGACCATCGGATTTCGCGACGTTTTCAGACCCTGATACTCTCTGGTATCCTGGGCCCGGAACCATGCAGCTGTCCGTCCCGGTGGCAGTCTGGGGACAACTCACCCGCCAGAGCCGTATGGTTCTCGTGGGCCTTTGGTTCTCCTCTGTCATTGTTACCCTCTCGGAGACTTTGGCGTCGCGTCGCTTCGAGCGGCTACGGGCCACCGGCCGGGCTGCGATCGATTAATCGCATATGTCCACGACGCTCCGTCTTTCTGTGAACATGTCGCAGGCGCCGATAAACGACCTCACAGTCACTTCTGCGGGAGCCCCCTCCCCCCCTCCTCTCGACAGGAGTCCCGTCCCGTCGGGAGTCCCACCCCGGCGAAAGTCCCACCTCGGCAGGAGTCCCTCCCCGGCAGGAGTCCCACCCCGACGCGAGTCCCGTCCCGGCCTGAGTCTCAAACCGGTAAGAGTCCCGCCCCGAAAGGAGTCCTGTCTGGCAGGAGTCCCGTTCCGACGTGAATCCCACGCCTGCAGGAGTTTCGCCTGGGTGAGAGTCCCGCCTCGGCAGGAGTCCCGCCCAGCAGGAGTCCCGCCCCGGCGGGAGTCCCGCGTGGCAGGAATCCTCCCCGGCAGGAGTACCGCCCCGGCAGAAGTGCAACACCGGTAAAAGTCCCGCCAGAGTGCCTGCATATAGCCCTAGGCCGGCCGAAAAGCAGGGCTGTTGGTGCGCGGTTACCGCGTAGTCTCGGTCTGAGTTATGTTGCTGCCACCTATACATATATCAGTGAGGGTTTTCTTTCTCTGATAGATGACGCTTGCAACAGTGTTCAGTGTGTGCGAAGAACGCAAACT